CCACCAAGGGGAGAATGGTTTAAAAGGTAAAGCAGAGCCCTGGGAGCAAGAATAGAAGCAGGGAGAGCAGTTGGAAAGCTACAGAAGTTTATTGTGACAGAGGAGATGGTCACTTTGAGAGACTGACAATACTAACGGACAGTGGCCAGGCCACATATAAAAACAGAACTCTGGCCTGCAACGTGTAGCGACCAGCCCAGGAAACCAAACCACAGCCCCTGCAGCAATTGGCCCCCAATGGCCAGGACTGGATCAATAACTTCCAGTTTCCCTAATTTTTGCCACCACTTCCAATTTTGGACCAACTAGTGAAAGGCCAATATGCTCCCCTAACCAATCGTATAGGAGGCCTATAGGTCTGACAATTAAGTTCATGAACTTGTTGCAACACTGTTGCTAACCTTTTTTGATATCAGAGGGATTATTCATTATGAATTTGTACCAACTGGACAGACAGTTAACCAAGCTTACTATTTGGAAGTGCTGAAAATGCTGCGTGAACAAGTTAGGCGATCTGAACTTTCCGCCGACAATTCATGGCTCTTGCATCACAACAATGCACCAGCTGACATGGCACCATCTGTGAGGGAGTTTTTAGCCAGTAAACAAATCACTGTATTGGAACACCCTCCCTACTCACCTGATCTGGCCCCCAATGACTTCTTTCTTTACCCGAAGATAAAGGAAATATTGAAGGGAAGACATTTTGATGACATTCAGGGCATCAAGGGTAATATGATGACAGCTCTGATGGCCATGGAAAAAGAGTTCCAAACTGCTTTGAAGGGTGGACTAGGCACTGGCGTTGGTGCATAGCTTCCTAAGGGGAGTACTTCTAAGGTAACCATAGTGATATTCAACAATGAGGTATGTAGCACTTTTTCTAGGATGAGTTCTCGAATTGTCCAACCTTGTATATCCTAGCCATGGTCGTTTAGCATATTCCTAGAAGTAGGATTATGAGGTCAAATGAGGTGAATGCTCTTCATTTAATAGACATTGCCAAACTGCTCTCCAAAGTGTTCATGACAGTTTTTGCCAATAAATGTAAAGGAAATTCCTGTTTATCCACACTCTTGCCAAGACTGGGTATTGTCAATCATTCTAACTTGGTCAATGTGATAGAAAGATTATATTGTTATTAGTGTTTTAATTTGCCTTTCTTAGACTATAAATGATGTTTCTCATAGTTTTTTCACATTCTTTGCCCATTTTTCTGTGGGCTTTTTTCCTTTTGATTTGTAAGCCTTCTTGGTATCTTAGAAGAATTAGCCTCCTGTCTTATCTAGGTGTTACAGATATTCCTCATCGATTTGTTTTCTTTATCTTTACTTTTACCTTATAAAGGTTTAGAATTTTATGTGATCATGTGTAGTAACAAGTTTTGTTTTCGAATTGTTTTATATCATGCTTATAAAAGCTTTCAATCTTCCCAAATTCGTTTCTAAAACTCACTTGGCTGTTTTCTAGAACTTTATTGGCTTTATTTTCTTGCATGTAAACATCTTTGAACCATCTGGAATTCTTTGGTGTTGAGAGATAGGGATCCAGTTTCTCTTAGTAAATATTTATTGAATGAATGAATAAATGAATGAGACATCCTGCAGCCTGAAGTAAAGTTGATGGCCTCCTAAGGGTTTAGCTTAGATGATTAATAAAGTTGTTCACTCCACAAACATTTCTAAACCATGTGCCAGAGTGGTGGAATGCTTGTAACTCTTACCGTCATTGGAGGAGACAGACATTAGCCAGATAACACAAATGGATGTAAAACTCATAAAGGAGACTTGTGCTCAGGGAGAGCATGTGAAAAAAGGAACCTACCCTAGCCTGGGAGGTCAACCAATGGTCAGGACTGACTAGTTAGGAAACTTTCGTGGGACACGCTCTCAGGATCAGCACTTGTGGGAGAGTAAAGGCAGCAGGACTGGGCAGAGACAGAAACACGCATGGCAGTAGCAGGAAAGGTCTTAGCCAAGCTCACAGCAGGCTGTGGAGGGGGGATGACCCTTGAGAGCTGCCCTGAACTAAGGCCAAGGGTTTGGGCCTCTATTACCCATCCCTCTTCTCCTCCAATGCACTGGGCTCTGCATGTAAGCTTCCGGCAGGCAGTTTCTTTCTGCCAGGGTGTTTCCCAGAGAGAGAGAGACCCACCTGGTAAGTGTCAGCTTCCAGCCCTCCAGCCTCCAGCAGCTGGTTAGAATGACAGCCCCCATCCTGAAGGGGACTTCTGGGTGACACACCACAGTATCCACTCCAGAAATCTTCTCTAAAGAAGTCGGGGTGGACCTTGAGTACTGATGGGCAGGCAGGAGTTAATTAGGCACAGGGAGTGGGGGCAACATGCTTTCTGTAGCTCAGTGCCATGGGAAGCCACTGTGTGGGGCAGGGAAGGAAGCAAGGAGACCAACCAGGAGGCTATTCGATGAATAGGGTCACATAAGACATTAAAATCTGGATATGGACATACATAGAGATACAGAAAAGACAAGTCTCCTAATAACCCCAGCCCTCAGAGACAACTATTAACGTTTTAGCGTCTTTCTTTTCCCTCTCCCTTCTCTGCATATTCTGTTAAAAAGCTAGGGTCTTACTGCCGATGTGATTTGATTTTCTGCTTTTTTCTACAAAGTTTTCCCGATGCCTTTGTTTTTTTTTTGTTGTTGTTGTTTTTTAAAGATTTTTATTGGGGAATTGGGGGATGGGAACAGTGCTGGGGAATTGGGGGAAGGGGAACAGACAAGTTGCTGTCATTTTTGTTCT